TTTGTTTTTCTTACTCACATAATTCCAAGCAGTCCTACAAACATAGCTTCCAGCTGGGAGGACTCGTTTTAACATGTCAAAAGGAATATCACACCTCGAGTTCACGTTGGCCCAGAAACTCTTCCCCTTTATTATGTGTGCCTTGCATTTTTGTCTGCAAACCGTTTCAGGTTACATCGTGTTCTAATAATGTTATGTGCTGACTTTGATTTTTTTTTTTTTTTTTTTTTTTTTTACAGCAGAGAATCATCTCAAAGCTCCGGCATCAGTCTCAGAGGGCCTTTCTAAGACAGCAGCAGTGTTAGACATAAAGAAGAGGGTCTCGGTGGAATCATCTGGACAGACGCACCCCCCCAGCCTGCGAGTCAGCACTGCCTCAATGACTCACCCAGGCCCTGCTGAGTCAAGTCAGGGGACACGCTCGATGCAAGGAAAGCCATAATGAAACCTGTCCTCAGATTTGCAGGGACATATGTTTTGAAACGCAGAGACACTTTCCCTCTGCTTCGTTTTCAAGCAAACCAGCAGACTGGGATCAGGTCGTCGACTGGTCGAGCGTGCTGTCCTTTGCAGAGARGGTCTTACATAAAGTCTCACGCTCGTGTGTCACTGCAAAGCGTCTTTGTCAACAGCATGATCCACAAAGGGAAGATCGAGACACGAAGCTTCAGACTGGCACCTTAAAAGCTTTGACAGATTGYTATATTACCTGTATGAAAAGATAAACGAGCGAGTTTGCTGAACTCAGGCTCCAAAGTCCAAGGAGTCGGCGWTTATTGGATCATGTACTCTCAAAGGAGAAACAGATACAGACGACCAGAGAGACAGAAAATAATCCATATTAGACAGACATTTAAAATTTGTCTATAAGAAAGGCCTAGTGTTCCTTGAAGGAATGCTTTTTTTCCACCTTTCACACCACTGGTTTAAATTAAGCTCATCTCATGTTGAGAAATCAGAGTTAATGTTATAGAAAATAACACTGTGCACAGTTTCACGCAATCCTRACATATTTTACTTTATATGTTCACAACTGAAGTGTGTGTTAGTCACTGAGTAAAAGGCTATTTTTGTGTGGTCTAATGTGGATTGTCTGCGGTGGCCATTTTGAATCTGAATGATTCCTGAAGTTAATTAGTTATAGCTGTACATCTAATGATTCATTTTTGAGAGTTTCACTGAAGCCTTTTCAGTGGTTAATTAGATATTTTGCTAACAGATAGACAAAAGTTAAATCCAAATAGTTAATAGCAGCATATTAATCAAAGATGAAGTGCAATTTACTAGTGCTCATAATATATGTTTATGTTCAAGTTCAGCTATTACAGCAACAAATTTTACCTCAATATCTGTAAAACTGGATGACTTCTCTGCCTTTTTGTGTTATTTAACTTCAGTTGGCTGTGGTGGCCGTTTTGAGAGGGATTTCTCCAAAAGTTAAAGAGCTGTACAAGTGCCCCCAATGATCATTTCCTGAAAGTTTCATTAAAATATATCCAGTGGTTCATGAGATATGTTGCTAACAGACAGACTTGATTGCATAACCCATTGCAAAGTTTTAAGGAGAACTAGTGCAATAGGTTAGTGCTCAGAGTATAGGTTGGGGATGAGTCTCAGCTACTACCACACCAAATTTAAGCTCAATATTTGTAAAACTGACCGGATTTTATAGCTTTTTTTGTGTGTGTGTGTGTTTGCTGAGAAAGTTAATCAGCTGTAAATGCGCATTTAAGTGGTTGTTGTGTGAAAGTTTCACTGCTTTCAATGATTCGTGCGATGTTAAAAATGAAACCTGCACAGTTTGTGTCTTCTTCTTCCTGCTGAGGCTTTAATCTGCTCTCAGGGAGGTTTGCTGACGGCGATCATTACGTGTGATAAGATAAGCAGATCCTACAGCCAGGGCACCAACCGGAACATTTCATCAGCTATTAAAGCCAAGCCTGTGAGCAGCAACAGGCCCATCATCATCATCATCATCATCATCATCATCATCATGGATGGCATCAGTCAGAGCTGGAAAACATGCAGAGGAGTGCAGTGCGAACGCGCCTTGTTAAGGCGATTTAAAAATAAGATTGTTAAATAGGATTTGCTTAACGTGGCGTTACATCTCCAAGAGAGATGAACTGCAGTAAACCCGCCGTCCGTCAGTTACCTAGCAACATGGCAGCGCCGTACGGCGAAACGGGTGGCCGCTAAAATGTTCAAGAACATACCTGAGCCCGATGCACCTCCTCCGGGGCTTCGCCGCACCGACACTCCCGCTGCTCCAAAAGTTCACGCGGCAGCCCGCCTTCCTTCCTGCCTTCCTGCCGCCGGCCTCGCCCGGTCGCTTACTTAAATCTGGTTCGGGCGGGTGTTCTTCAGCATGAGGCGGCCGCCGACTCGACGGTGTCTGGGCACGACATCTCCAGGAGCGGAACGGAGAGCGTCGGAAGTCAGCGACTGATTTGATTTCCTTTACGCCGCCGTGTCTCTGTGTGGCCCCTCGGCAGAGGAAAGGCAGCGGGCGCGACGTGTAAAAATGACACCCAGAGACACATTTCCAGCCCCCGGGTGTGTTTTACGCGGAAATCACCCCACCGTGTTTACAAAATCCGACCACATCTCTGCTGCACCGGAGAGGGAGGGAGAGAGACAGAGAGCAACACGCTGGATTTCCTCAATCGGCAGAAAAGGCCAAAGTAGCTATGGAAACGGTAAAATGTCCTTGAATATCCAGGCTGTGCTCRTAAAGAGCTGGGCTTGTCTTGTGTCGTAAAGTAGAATTCTGTAATAGTAGGTTCAGTCCAGCAGCTGCTATCTAGGTCCAGAGAACCAGGAAGGACGACGAGAAGACAGATGAGGGTCCCTAACCATSTAACTTGTCAGTCCTCTCAAGTCTGAGGCACCGCAAGACTTCAGTTTTCCAGGCACGACTCAAAACATTGCTCATGTTTTTTACAAAAATTTAACTTCCGGTTTTMGTTTCAAAATAAAAGCGGAGTGCCTATTTACAACGTTCGCAAAGTTGTTGCATTCTTCCTAAGCTCTTCTCGTTTACTTCCACAACCACACATTATAAAGTCCGTACTATTGCCGCACGCAAACGTTTCGTATTAAAGTTTAAACAAGAAGAGCTCGCAACATTTTTGTCTTTGATTTTGAAGGACCAGTCACTCCATTTCCAGCGTTTCTTTTTCTGCATGCAAGCTTGACAACAAAACTTCATTTGGTCGTTATCGTGTTCGACTGCCCCCTGCTGGAAAAGRAGCATAAACAGGTTGATCGAGTGGTTGCGTATTTCCGCAGGAAAGTTAAAAGCATTTAGTTTACAGCACTCAATGTTCTCACAGTGAAACACAAATAAATACTCATAGATATGCTAATACTTTAGCAATTTTGTTTGTATTATTTTATTAGAAGATAGATAGATAGATAGATAGATAGATAGATAGATAGATAGATAGATAGATAGATAGATAGATAGATAGATAGATAGAT